GAGGAGGCGGAGGAGGATTGCCAAGCTCGCTATAGGTTTATAGGGTACCTAAACCCATCTTTAAGGCTTCGGCAGCTGTTACCAACATCTTAAAAAAGTTCATTGGATGGCAGAAGTCTGGAGCCAGAGGCTGGGGAGGGGGTAAGCCCGCGGTGTAGCCTTTTGTCTGGCCCGAGTCCACGGGCAGGGAGGGGAAAATGCATCTCTTCCGGGTTTGGCGGTCGTGTCCCGATTGCGGGGGTCTCTTAGGGCCAGAGGGGAAACAACCCTAACGACCCCCCGAAGGACGGAGGAAGAGGAGGAGGGAGGAGGGAGGAGAGAGGAGGGTAGGGAGGAGGGAGGAGGAGAGGAGGGAGCGGGAGGAAGGAGGAGGGAGGAGGGAGGGGAGGAGGGAGGAGGAGGAGGGAGGAGGGAGGAGGGGGGGAGGGGGGAGGGAGGAGGGAGGAGAGAGAGGGGAGGGAGGAGGGAGGAGGGAGGGAGGGGAGGAGGGATGAGGAGGGATGAGGGAGGAGGGAGGAGGGAGGAGGAGGAGGGAGAAGGAAGGGAGGGGAAGAGGGAGGAGGGAGGAGGGAGGACCCATTGGACTGTGACCCATTGGGTTGGTTCCCGCGTATACGCGGCGCTCCTCCCTTCTGCGAGCGCCCGCGACCTATAGGCCCTATGGGTCGTCGCAGCCAGGAAGGCACCGCAGGTAGCGCCTGTAGGCGCTGCCGTTGGGGAGCGCGGGTGCCTTTAGGCAGGGAGGGCCTGTAGGCGCGCCTATAGGCGAGGAGGGCCTGTAGGCGCGCCTGTAGGCAGGGAGGAAGGAGGAGGGAGAGAGGGGGGGGAGTGCCTCTAGGCAAGGAGGGCCTGTAGGCATGCCTGTAGGCAAGGAGGGGGGGGGCGGTGGAGGAGTGCCTATAGGCACGGGGTGCCTGTAGGCGTGCTTGTAGGCAGGGAGGAAGGGAGGGGGAGGGAGGGGGGAAAGGCGCGCGCGCGCGCCGTGCCCCTTTCTGACCGTCCGGCGCTAGCATGCGTGCACGAAGGTCGAGGCGGCCACGCCTATCAGCCGCACCTTGGCAGCTAGCTCGTCCACGTCCAGCGTGTCCCGCAGCGCCCACAGCAAGAGCTCGCCCCTCGGCGGGCCCCACGCGGCATGCACCGCCTCCTGGTGGGCCTCCATGGCGGCACAGCATTCAATCAGGTGCTGGAAGCAGGCCGCGCCGCCAGCGCACAACGGGCACGCCTCGGGCAGGCGCTCCGCTGGCAAACCCCAGACCCCGACCGAGATTTGGAGCGACACGCGCGCGGCGCACCATGCACGGTGGAACCGCCACATAGTTCGCCCCCATGACGCCCACCTGAGGGCGGGGGGCCAGTCGCAATGCAGAGGGAGGACCTCTGCGATGGGTACGAGGCCGGTGTCGTTCAAGCGGCTCAGCTGTTCCCGGAACCAGACCTGCTCGGTTTC